TTCTTTTTTGTAAAATTTGAGAGGGTGGCCAAGACTCTGAGAGATATCGGAAATGTATCATTGACATTTTTAGGTCACAATGAGAACTTTGCAGCTCGATTTAGCTACATCAAGTAATAAAAACGCAACATCCATAAAGTGGTAAATCAATTCACTTTCCTTTTGGAAACATCGTACTAGATTTATCTAAGATACAATGATTACGACTGAAATGGTCAAAGACCAATTGCAATTATAGATTATGCCATTTCACAGAATCAAGTCACGGTTATAGGCAATAGGTGCGAGGGCAGTTTAGTAATTTCCCGGAGATTATCCGCGACGGCGACGGGTAAGGGCGAGCCGAGGGCGAGGGAACAGACGGACGGACAAGGGTGACGCACTTGAGCTAGATTAAGCCCGGGCCGACACGTCCGCGAGTAATGTGCTCATATATTGTCCGGACGAGGCGCGTGCCCGCAATTATGTGGACGCTAGTGCTGACACCGCGACTCTACATGGCCTTTTCGTCAATTGTAGAGGGATGCAGTGGTCAATGCTAATATTAAAGAAATATAAATATATTCTCTAAAATCTAAGATATTCAGCAATTTAATTACCGGTTAAAGTTCCTTTCCTGAAGCATCCTAACATAATTAACGTGGTATTCCAGATGTATAAATGTTCCTATATTTTACGTAGAATTTTTTGTCACAGTATTTTTAATTTAAAAAATAAAATATAAGAAGAGACAACGTGAAAGATAATTTTGTTTAATATTCCACTTAGCGGAAAAATAATAACATCGCTTTATTTTAAAAATGAGTTCGCAAACATCTCTAATTCAGCTTAAATGTAATAAACAATTTGTCCGAGGCCTCGGTACCATAGGCGTTATTAAAATGTCGCATTTCTTTGCGTACATTAAATCACTTAAGGTGGACACGGCGTCTGATGTAGATTTGTTTAGCAATTCCATCCGGCGCGGGCTTAGCGGACAGTCCTTTAATTAAAACCCGGCCGTGTAATGTTGGCCTGACGCGGGCTTAATGGCAGTCCGCAGGCTTAATGGCCCCCGACGACTTTAATTGTTCCACGTCAATTGTGCCGGGTTACGTACGCGTCTCCGAAACTCCGCCGAAAAATCACCATATGTGCCGTCTGTACTGGCAACAACGAACAAGGGTTGCAAAAGGTTAATTATAGGGAGGTTTTCAGTGCAATTCAGGAAAAGATATAAGAAAGAAGACACCCTGGAAGTAAGGAAATTTCAGGGCCAGATAATCTCGTCATGGTACAATCCGACTATCTAGTTACATCAACATTATTCCGCGCGATAACGGTGCAATCAAACAGATGTAATGATAGCCATTTAGGGAAGAAGATGACACTTCTCAAGTAAGGGTACGTTCAGACTTATAATGCAATCAATAACAATGGCCTAAGGATTTAGAAACTTGCTCCACTACGAGTAGATTAACCGTTATTAAGTTTGCGCACCTTATCATTTGCTTTTCAAATTGATGAACTTGATAGAATCGTGAATATGAACTTCAACTATAAAGGAAAACTAAAGAATGTTGCTACTTTCTATTTAGCATTTAATTTAAAAAACATAGCCATTACAAGGAGCAATGGATCGTATTATTGTGGTATACAATTAAATGAACCTGTCAACATAAAAAGCGTTCTACAGTGTTGTTGGCCGTTCTCCTAATGTCCCACTGAGAGTCGGTCTCAGTTCACACATTCACTATCGTTAGGTGCCAGTATCGCAAACATTGACAAATGCAAAATCAATGTAATAGTAAACGCTTTATGCTTTTTTAATCAACAAAAAAAATCATACTCGTTAATTACTTTGGTATATTTTAATCATCCACTTGCCCTTATCCCTTATGGAGGGTCGGCACAGTATGTGCTGCTCTTCCATACATCTCTATCAGCCGTCATATCTGAATCCACTCCTTTCTTAAGCATATCTTCCTTCACACAATCCATCCATACTTTCTTCGGTCTTCCTCTTCCTTTGTAGCCATCCACATTCAATCTCAACACTTTCTGGTTTATGTCCCCATCATTTCGTCGCATAATATGTCCATACCACGCTAACCTTTTGCTTCTCAATTTCTCCACCACTGGCGCTACTTTCAAACTTCCTCTAATGTACACATTCTTAACTTTATCCAATCTTGTCACACCACACATCCATCTTAACATACGCATCTCAGCCACATGCAATCTCCTTTCATCCGCAACTTTGGTGGCCCAGCATTCAGATCCATACAATACGACAGGTCTTATGATGGACTTGTAGATCTGTCCCTTAAGCCTAAGAGGCATTCTTGGATCACAAGTCACACCAGTAACCTGTCGCCATTTCATCCAACCTGCATTAATTCGGCTTTTTACTTTGGTATATTTTAATAAAGTTGCGAAATTTAAAAACTTCTACACACATCGACAATGTTTGTAGAACCGTAGGTTTTGAAAACGTGGCTTGATAACCGCGATAGAAGTTATAAGTTCCAGAATCCTCGCTAACGTTTTCTATTTTTTTTGCCAAAGAATTAAACAAAAACTGAAAATTAGAGTAACGCATTAATTGTTATGAATGTGAATAAATCAGTGGTCATAAATGAATTCGTATATTACTGCTTTGGTTCTTATCAAATAATGAAAGTAAACCGGCTCTAAAAAACTGTTTATTTTACAGTTCGTAAAGTGTGATTGTAGAATGTGTCCTTGGAAAACTGTACTTTATAAAAATATAGATCTGGCACATAACAAATAAAAACTAGTGTGAATAATCGTTCGAGTTTTGTGAAGTACAAAAGATTTCCGGGCGTTGTTAATTTCTTGAAGGGAAAAGGTTTCATTTAAGTGGCAATCGTCACGTCGCGTTAACGAGCTTCCTGAGTTAACAGAGCAACGTGAAAAAATGTTCGTCTGCAGTCTGCCTTATAGCCGTATCTGCCGAGCTTTCTTTGTAACTGACGCGACTTAATGAATTTGACTTTGAATTAGGTCGAGGGTCAATTTTCTGTAACCCCTTCCATCCGACATAATACAAGCTATAGCTATAGGCTTGTGATATCATTGATTCAAACACATTTGAGGACTGACAAAAAAGTTTACTAAGGTTTTGTGGCATCATCATCACTTAATTAAAAAAGATACTTGGATGCTTAATAAAATTATTTGTCTGTTATACAAATAAAAAATAATGATAACAAGTTATTCAAAATAATGACAGTTGTAAAAACTGCATTCTGAATAATAGGAATAGAACTAGGGAGAAAATCGACCTAAAAAATTAAGTTAATAGAAAAAAAAACGATACTAAAGCCAAAACAGTAATGAATGCAAAATAATAACATGATATTCATAAACAACTTAATTCAGTGTCTTGATTTTCTTCGAAAAACGTTTATTTGTAAATTGTATAATTTTTATTCTAAAAGTCCTAAATTTCATTTAGTAATTAGAGTGATAAAATAACTATGAATACCACCTGGGAGTTATTTTCTCCTAATATGAGAAAGAAAATGAAACGATACGTGTCCACTTCCCGGTATCGGACACACGGGCCGATCGCCAGATAATAATTGTCGGTGCTCGTTTTTCCGTGGAATTGTATTGCAAACCGCTTTGTCGGCGTGCCCCCGTCAGCGCTTACCGTCTTTTGTCTCGTATTGTTCATTTACCGACCTTGATATCATATATGTTGTGTAAGTAAATCCAATGAAACAATGTTCAAGATGATTCAATGGTAAATTTAGCATCTGTTGACGTGTTGGGTATTATATTTAACTAACTTTTGTATTTGGTTTCGCCCACGTATGTTATAAATATTTTTACATTACTACTTTTAACACTGTCTACTAGTTTAACAGCTATAAATTGTAAATTATTGGAGTACTATTTGGAATCCCTCTCATATTTTTAAAATCATCAGTGATCTGATACTTTATGAGTTTTATAAACAAGATCGAAGAAGAAAGTAACAAAACGTAACCAATAAAAGTTATTTAGATTCTAGGACACCTAAATCATTTTAGTCTAACGCTGAAAATCTACGCTGTGGTAATTAACAATGTAACATATGTATGCATTTATGTATACTAAGCGCATATTGCGTCATGTTATTGAGGTAGCAACAATAATTAGCATAATTTCCGAGCATTTCTATAGGTTTGAACTATTTTTATTACATAAAATTCACGTTATATTTCAGCCTTGTTTAGTTTAGCTATAGTTTTTTGATCCCATATTGGGAGTTTTAAATATAATTAAGTTCAAAATTCTATTCTATTTAATACATAAGGGTAATAAGATTGTAAGTGCCTAATACTTTTCTTACTCTGTCTTACTGAAATTCGCGTCGAACGTGGAAGGGGAATGGCAATTATAAAATTTTATGACCATTTGGTGATAATATTTGTATGCGATTTTTTTACTTAACAATTCAACACAAAATCATGCGGAACTTCTAGGTATTAGTTTCGTATTTCAATTACTAAAAGTACAAAAAATATTTTCATACCACGTAGCGATTATTTATAAAAAAAAAACTGTTAGAAATACTTTATACAGTAATTGCCTTTGACATACATATATAACATTTCAGAATGCCTAACAATTATTTTTAATCTATATAATAAGTCATAGAAGGTATTCCGAGGTCACTACGAAATGGCATTTTTAACGTTTTATTGACTTGTGTATTTATTTTTAAAAACCATTAGTTGTTCATGAACATAATTGTGTTACAAGAAACACAATCAAACCAATGAGAATTATATTCTGTAAACTTACTGGTATTAAAAAAAAAAAAGTCGGTCTCCAGAGGCCACATACACATAATTTTAGGCCAACGTAGAGTCCAATAGGCTGAAAGTGATAGAATCCCAGTCTTTTTCTTCTACGGTACTATCTTTCATAGTCGTTTTATAACGTAAATAGAACATTCTGGCAATACGCGTTTGAACCGCAAGTTCCTCTAGCATGTCCGGACTCACCGTACATCTTGCCCTCGTCGGAGAGGATGATCTTGCGCCTGCCACACGGGGGGTAGATGGCCAGCGCCTCCTGAAAGCTCTGCTCGATGTCTGGACTCCAAACACCCTCTGCATCTGCAGCTGACAGGTCCTGGAAAAGTTAATGATTTATTAACTATCTGAAAAAACTTAGTTGTTGTAGTTTAGTTGGGATAGGTTTTGGTCCGTCAAAATAGCATGATGGTTGAAAACTGTTATAATATTGTCTATATTATCGAAATTAAGAGATTTAAATCATTTCTAGATCATCAGATGAAACTAATATATTTAATTCTGTCTAATTCTAGTTGCTTCTTTTATAATCCAGTTTTGCTACTTTTAAAAATACTTTTATCATTGTGCCTAATGTTGAGGAGGTACATGAAATCTCCAATTTTGAAAAGTCTGTGCACATTAGTAAGCGTATTCCTGTAACATTACGTTTGTAATCAAAATTACCTGTAGTTCTAGGTAACAACGCAATATAAACATTTCACTGAAGCTCTAGTTCAATACTAAACATCGTAATTACAATCGATTAAAGGAATTGTTTATGTAGTAGCTCTCCCAAGTTATCAGTTAGCGAATGGGATTTGCCGCGATCGGTTTCACCTTGACCTTCGTTCCTCTAAATATTTGCGCTTCGAAAAAATAGTATTGGCATTCAAATGTGAACATGAATCGACATCTCTCGATACTAAAGAGTGGTTCACACTGGAGCTACGTATGTAAGAAATCAATACGTTAAATGATTTTACTACCTGTCACGTTGAAGTTAACAAGCTCTTGTTAGCTAGATAAGAATAGAATATAGTGACATTATTTATAGTAAAAGATTACGAGTTTTTTTTAGTTAGTGTCATTACAAAGGAATCAGAAAGACCAAGACTGATTTGATTTTAACAATGTTTGAAAAATCAAACGGTTAGCACTCACGTCTATTTTTAATAATTAGTAATAATGATGTCTTACGAAAGTGTAGACAATTTAATTAAACGACTATTTTGTGGCTAAGGTGGAGGTATATTTATTGAAATTTTCCTCAATTTTCGTGGATCACTGCAACCTGTGATGCAGGAATGTATATTTAATTTCAATACAATATGGAATAAGGGAAACACTTCTCCAGTGTGTACTATGCCTTAGTGTGACAATTCATTCTATTACATGAACCAATGCGCGCCCGCGACTCCGTCTGCGTAAGTAAACTGACCTTGACGGAACCGGCGTATTCATTCATAACGCGTATAGAAACATCGGCTCTGTATTAGTGATTTCACATTGAATGGATAAAAGTCAGTGTTATCAAATGTCGGCTTTTATGATAATACTACGCCTTGATAAATTACATTAATCTCTGTGATAAAAAGTTAATTACCAATAGCAAACTTTTTTCGTGGTCAATTAAATGATAAAAGAAGAAAAATGAACGCATTGTTAGATTTTATTTAGGGGTGCAAAAAGTTACAAAGAGATGGGGACAAATGAGATAGAGTAGTTATCAGGAGAATTGATGGATTAAATACCTTCAAGCCTTGATCTCATCACAAGAAACGTTCAATTAAAACTAATTCTATGTTTTTGATTATTATCTCCACAACTCTAAACATCCTTGACAAAGATTGTTCCTACTATACAATAGACTATCGTTGAATGTAATTGTTAACTATTATGTGTTTGATACATACATGCGTAGGATAATGTGAGATATTCTACTACAACTAGGGCTACAGAAGTTGTGCGGAACTACAATAAATTATGAAAACGATACTACTGTCAAAGTATCCAGTGAACATAAAACAGACGCCGGGTGAAGTCGGAACGTCTCGATTTTCCCTGGATCAGAAACACAAGGCGAGTGCGTCATTGTAATTAATAGACTCGATTCTATTCTCAAAGGAAAATAAAAATACACACCGACTTCGGGAGCCGACGCGGACGTCGTTCGAAAACATCGTGAATCACTCGCCGTTCCGCGAACACTCGAAATACTCGAGCGATATCTCGCCGAATTACGAATAATCGATACACCTGTTACTTGTATCGTACTCGTGTCAAAATAAATTAACATTTACGGAGTAAAACGTGCTGTGTTAATTTATTATCTATGTAAAAAGGTTTATTATTGTCTTCCCACTTTAAAAGAAGTTTGATTTTGTGCTGATTCATGATTCGAAGAGGCTAAGAAAATTAAGATAACGTACTACTGTCGAGTTTATCGAATGACACTTGCATTTAGAGTATATATATAGTATAATACAATACTGTTTTGAACTTGTACGAATATGTCCAATGACAAGGAAAGTTGTTATAATACCAATGCAATTCTTAAAATCGGAAAAAAATATGTATGCAATTTCGGCGAAAAGTGCGAAATGCGAAATGTACTACCAATTAGTTTAAATTCGCGGTAAGAGATCAATGCGTTTTATTATTACTGGCTCATAATGAATGGAAAATAAAGAGAGTGGAAATGTAACTTATAGTATGGATAACACTAAACGTACAAGTCAGTATGACAGTAAGCTTTAGTATTTGGAGATATGATTGTTTACCTTCTCATCGTCACTGGCGTCTCCGACGTCGAGGTGCTTGGCGTCCGGGCCGCCCGAGCCCCGCCGCGCTCCACGGGGACGCAATCGTGCCGGCTGCGAGCGCGCCGCTCGCTGAAACAACACATCACCATTACAATCCTTCTAAGAAGTTGTATGTTGTATTGCAAAGTTTTGGCTATTAAAAATGGTTAAATTTTCATGATGCTTACAATTCCTGTAGTTCACTATAAGACGACTTTATTCATAGTTAATTTAAAAGCATTAAAATTGAATATAGATTTAGGATAAATCGCTAAAGAGTTTTTATATGCTAATAAAACACGATAAAACATCGTAATAATTGACCTTGAAAAGACGTAGAATGAACTAGTCCATGTGATGTAAGAATTAAAGGTAACATTATATTGTTTCTTAGAATTAACCGAGACATCATATAACTCTGTTATCTATATGTCTACTTATGTGTTTACGTTCGGATTTAGACAAGTTTCTTAGAAGGCAGGTATCAAGTTTTGATAAACATTTCTCACAAGAGTCACTAATAAATACAATTGGCTTAGATTTTACCGGATTCTGTAGGGTTATGTTTTTGTTTTAACATGAGGTTTTGTATATCACTTTAATTACTGCCTTCTTTAATAACAACTTAGCTAATTGACTAGTGAAGTGTTAATACGTTTTGTATTCTGATTGTCATAAAATTGCTGTTAGTATCTTTAATTAAGTGTTATTTCGGTCCATTTCAACTTCGGTAGGGGCATGGTTGAGTGTAAATCTGTGACGTAGTCCGTTGTTTGCTTATATCCATTCGGATGCTTGCGTTGTTAACGTTGTGATCGTATTGTGGCTACTGGCACGTTACAACACAACCAGATTTATAACCGTACACTACGTGTAAACTTACTACCCACTATAACTACTTTGTGTCTATACAACATTACAATTTAGTTGAATATCACATTTTACGAACTGTTTGATATAAATGGTTTATTACATAACATTACAGAGTTTTACAATAATTCAAAGACAAACATCCGCGTTGTGCGATCACTTCATCGCCGTTTTTTTTTTTCGTTTTGACATATCCGAATGTTACCAGCCTCTCCCGCGTGAACACATAGTTAGAGTTTGCAACAAGTCTCCTGGTTTGTTTAGGCTTTATGTAATCGCAAAATACCTTCAAGTACTTAGTATTTTTTGCTTTTTTTTTGTTATTTTTATTATAATAACAAAAGTATCAAGTTATAAACTGTCCAAAAATAAACAAATAATTACAAAAGAACTGTTATAAATAACCGCGGTCCGAATGATTCACGATTCAAACAAAAAGGCAAAAAACCATCAAGAAAAACTTCCAGAATGTTTGTCTAAAATTTCTTAATACCGAGTATCTTTGTTCCCACAAGATCCGAGAGCGGAGGTCGTAGGTATTCTCGAAATTTTCATATTTACCGTTAGAAATATGCAGGTACGAAACGTTAACAATATAAATATAATATCAAAACGGAGAATTTCGTTATGAAGATCGGATCGGGAGCCGGGAGGATAAAATATGCGCCGCCCGCTTGCGAAGCGATGTCCCCCACACTTTATAAATCCTGCGTCGCCTCGCCTCGCTTCGCCCACCTTGAGCAAACTAACTTTTACCAAACGACCCAAGTATTTCATCTACTTTTATCTGTTATTAAACAGCAACTCACTTAACATTCATACTTTCAATTGGAATCGTTTAGATGAAATTGTTTTTGTGTAAGAGAGATTTGTGGGGGCGGTTGTATTGTTCGCGAAGCCCGTTTGAAATTGTGTAACACAGTTATAAGAATTTGAAGTGAGCGGTTGTAAACAGATTTGTTTATTATCAGCATGTAGTTATAATTGTAGAATTACCTTTAACTATTTTCGTTTATTTCAGTAGGTTTTTAAACAGGATTTTTTATTCCTATTTAAATTTCGATATCTTTAAGTAAAAAAGAACTGCGATGTTTAAATATGGCTTGCATTACTAGATTTATCTAAATGAAATGTGTGAAGCATAAAGTTAGCAATTCGCAACAAAAGGCTAGGTAATTGGTTGCATCGATTTTCCAAGTCCAGCGTATGACGACAAAGTTAAAAGTGAACGTAGCAATTATAACGAACAGCGCGGTGTCCCCGCAGTGTGGTGTGTTGAAAGTCCGACTGAACGTCGCCCTACATCCACCCGACAAATTTGTACTACCATTATTTACTAGCTTTACATTGTACGTTTTACAACTGGCGTGAATAATAACCGGATTCCACCATACCATTTACAGACATGTATTAAATGATATAGAACAAAGCTGATAGTACTAGCTTCATCTTGCAGTGTTACAAAAAGTCAATATGTTGGAGCGAGACAAAGAAATATGATTGAACAAACAGCTCGCTGGGAAAACTGATGACTGTAGGTTTTAATAGAGCTGGTCGCTAAGTCACTAACGCAATGCTGTGCACTTCATTCATAATGCAATTACAAGACATGCTCGTTTTATATAATCGTAAAGCTTGTATTCATTTTAAATCTTTTCAACTGTTGTTATTTTTATATATGATGTTTATGACATTTCTGAATCTTTTTTTGACTTGTTATTTATTTTAAATCCGATCTGTTCTCTACTTATCTACAATGTACAAACCCATATGTTATCTGTTGTGAAATCTGAATTGATATTAAGTAATACAGCCTAAGCCTGCGGTGAACAAGGAACGGAAATGCAGATCATCTTTACAGTTAGACGCGGCCAGCCCATACGCAGAGTCAGCGACGGCTAGAAACAGGTTAGCATTCGCTGGAAGTAGCGGAATTCTTTTAACCTACATAGGCCTCAATTAGCCTATTACAACCGTAATTGGATGTAATACGCATTTTCTTTAGCATGAGCTAGTCGTCCTTTATGGTGATTTTTCAAAAGGATTCATGTGACGTCAGATATAGATATGCAATTTATTATGATAGAATGGCTATGGGATTGACTGTTAAGTAACATAATTGCAAATCATGCTTTGAATCACTATAATTATTAGTCTTTTTCCAGCCTCATCCACGGCCTACTGCTATTGTAATAGAGCGTCGATTTATCGGCAATATTTAAGTCCTTTCATCATCCTTAACTTTCGTATTACTAAATATTTTTAATGCATACATAATCAAAACCCCCTAATTGCTTAAATAAAAAGCTTACTCACAAGCCGCTATTAATTAATAAAGGAAAATCTTTACATACAGTAGTCACGGGCGTTTTGTCATTGCTCCAGCGGAGAGGGTCCCACTTATTGCGGACACTTGTCATATCAACACAATGCGAGCGTCGAGAGGGGATGCTTTATTATTTTAATTATTGCAGTCGCGATGCGCCCTCTGTCGGCGAGCGCGGCGCGGTGCCGCTTTGATGCGGCCTCGAATTAGCAGCTGGATTGTTGTAATTGAACGCCCTCCACTCCCTACTTATTAATCAGCACTAATGCTCATTGCCGTTTCGATGTCTAGTTCATTTATTAGACGAACGCTTATTGCCAATTACAGTTCATTGTCTCCTTCAGTTTACAAATTAACTTGATTTAATATGCGTTGAGAGTGTAGATTCTTCCTTATCTTTAGTCTTTAATGATATCTATACTAATATTATACAGAGGAAAGATTTGAATTTTTGTACTAATTGAAATAACTCAAAAACTACTGAGCTGATTCCAAAAATTGCACAATTAAAAATCTATGTTATCACTGAATAACATCATACTAATATTATAAATGCAAAAGTTTAGGTGGGTGGATGTTTGTTAGATTTTGATGAAATTTGGCATAGATGTCTACATCATATCCTCTAGGATAGTCTGGAAGCAGACATACGCTACTTGCATTTCTTTTTTTTTTATTCCGCGCGGACGGTATCGCGGGCGAAATCTAATAGGCTATATATTTATTTTTTTTTTTTAATTTCACGAGAGCGAAGTCGTAAAAAAGATAACTTTTCATTTCCTTAAGAAAAAAAACTTTTCGTACAAGGTGATCATAAATAATACTTGTGTCGAATGTAAACGAGGCTCGTCAATCACAGCACTGTCAGATCTGTGATCAGAGAGATGCGGCTCGCAGCGCCAGCGCTCCGAGCGGCTGCAACGCTCGACTTAACGTTTCAATTCACGGACCCTCGCCGACAATCATTAAAAACATCAATAATCATATATCATTTTCTTTATTCCACATCATTGGCGATACACAAATTAGGCACATTATACAAAATCAGTATGCAGTTATACAGAAGAAACATTTGTATATTTTATGTATCGAAGTAACTCAAAAACTACTGGCTCTATTTTAAAAATTCTTACATTATTAAAGAGCTACGTTATCAGTGTACAACATAGGCTATGATTTTTATTGTTTATTTTTTTCATGCGGGCGAAATCGCGAGCAACAGCTAGTCATAAATCTATTTTTACTAATAGTAGCAACAGCTCGCGTAAACTTAAAAAATAATATACACACAGCATGTTACTGATAACGTAGTTTTTTAACTGTGAAAGAATTTGTGAAATCGGCTTAGTAGTTTTGAGATTTCAATACACACAAATATACAAATCTTTCCTCTTTATAATATTAGTGTAGAAGTATAGATTAAAGCAGTGATTCTCAAGCTTTTTTTTTGTTGCGACACATATTTAACGAGATCAAAATTTGGCGGCACACAAAAGTGCCGCGGCACGGTAGTATACGTATACGGCCAATAGCTTTCCCATCTTCATTATTGATTGTCATTTATTTTAGTACATCCTTATCCGTAGGAATCTGCAGCAGTTATTAAGGACGTCCTGTCATCATATCGTGGATTAGTGGACATTGCGAGCTACAAGTTGCGACTAGTGTTAATCCAATAATACTTTTCCTTCTTCAATCCAATAACACGGCGCTTGAGAAATTCTGTGTCCGTGTTTAACACGGTCACCAGGAATCACTATGTACTAGCTTTCGCCCGCGATTCCGTCCGCGTAGAACTATAAAAACAAAACTGAGTACCCTATGTGTTCTTCCAGACTACCCTCTAAGTCTATGACAAATTTCATCGAAATTCGTTCAGCCGTTTAGGCTACAA